TAATAGAGGCATGTTTTATTTATTTATTTATTTGTTTGTTTGTTTTGTTTATACATGCACTGGGTACAGTCAGAAGCGCGGGAGGGTGAGAGAATTCACCAGAGCCAGAGCGGGGAGCAGAGCAGGCAGAAGGACCGAAGTACACTGCTGAGGGGAGCAGCGGGCGGCAGGAGAGGTCTGCGCGCCATGTGGGACCCTCCTCTGGTGGCCGGGGAGCAGCCGGGGATCGAACTGGCGCTGCAGAGGCCGTGGGCAGCTTCGCAACCCAGCGCTCAACCGCTGCGCCACCGGGGAGGCCCTGCCTATCCTTTTTGCTGATCTAACACAGTTCATCTGGGAGGGTGGGCTTCCTGTGATGGTGAAGGACAGAGGCCCAATTACAGCATCTAAGTCAAGGGTGAGGGGATTCTTGAAGGTGTGATCACTGACCTCGCTTCTTCCATATTTACTCAGCGCTACCTGGTGGTTCTGGTTATTTGTCGCTGTGGAATAAATGACACTAAAATGGGGTGACTCTAAATAGCAATTAGTTTTCTTTTTTCTCGTGGTTCTGTGGGTCAGGCACTTGGGAAGGACCCAGCTGGACAGTTTGTCTGCACTCCAGGCAGTGTCAGCTGGGGAGGCTTGGCTGACTGGAGGATCTGCTTCCTCGAGGATTCACCATGTGGCTGGCAAGGTGGCGACAACTGCGGGGTGGGAGTTGAGCCAGGACTAATGACTGGGCTCTCAGTTCCTCTCCAGGCCTGCGCTTCCTCACAGGATGGTCGTCAGGGTATCAGAGCTTCCCAACAGAGCAAAAGGGAGGTGCTGTTTTTTCTTATGACCTGGGCCCAGAAACAGACTCAAAGAGAGGGACCATAGGCTTCCCTTCCTGCAGATAGCATTGCCTAAGAATTTTAGGATCATTAAAAAAAAAAGTCCACACTGGAAAAACTAATAACTGTGCTGTTCAGAACAGAGGGGAGGGTACATCTTAGCATCTGTGCATTTGTGATGCTCAGAAATACAAACACAACTTGGTGAATGGCAGCTTGTGTTTTTGTGTCCTTGTCAACCGCTGCACCGGGGAGGCCCTGCCTACCCTTTTTGCTAATCTAACACAGTTCATCTGGGAGGGTGGGCTTCCTGTGATGGGGAAAGCCATGGTTGACATTTCCTGTTCTGTCTTACTACTTAACACATCAGGAGCAGTGTTCTTTAGGCTCACAGGGGGAGAGAAGGTTAAGAACATCACTTCAGGGCCTCCCTGGTGGTGCAAGGGGTTAAGACACAACCTGTGAAGCAATCTGCAGCCTCTGCAGTATGAATTTGATCCCCAGCCAGGGAGCTACCCACATGGCACAGCAGACCTCTCTTGACTCGCCCACTGTTCTCCTCAGCAGTGTACTTCGATCAATCTGCCTGTTCTGCTCCCCACTGTCTCTGGTGAATCCTCTCCCCCCCCCAACACCTCTGGCCTGTACCCTAGCTCTTATATGCATAAATAAATAAATCTTTTAAAAAATACATATTTAAAAAAAAGAACATGACTTCAGTGTCTGTGTTGACAGGAAGGCAGCTTGGGCAGAAGGTGGGGTGTGGGGGAGGGGGTGAACTGGGAAGCATGTCTACTCTTTCCAGCAGGATCAGGGTTGAGAAGAATGTCTTGGATCGTTGCATTGGACTCTCCATGTTGGACGGGGCAGCCTGCTGACTGTCAGTCACTATGCTGGAGGTGTGAGGTATGGAGCGACGAATAAGAAAATGTCCCGTCCCATAACCTGGCACATTCGAATTTGAGAGGCAAGACATATGAAGGAGGACCTATATTTGAAGGGCTTAAATGCCAAAATTGAGAGAAAGTAAGGACTTTGGATTTGGATATACCCATTAGATGACTTGAACAGATGACTCAACCACCCTCAGCCTTAGTGTCCCCATTAGTAAGAAGGGCATGTGAACAGCGCCTTCCTCATTGGACATAGAACGATGGTGGTGGAATGAAAGAGAAGTAGCCAGATTCTAGACATAATAGGAGACAACGCCTCCAGGACATACCGAAAGATTTCATGAAGGAGTGGGAAAGATTGTATTGGGTTTCTTGCTGTGCTGGCTGGAACATTCATGGAACCAGGGAGCACTGGAGGAGGAGCAAGAGGCAAAATCTTGCATGTTTTACAGCATAGATCTTTGAATGCTCACCTGATTTCTTGCACATTGTTGGACTCAATTTGAGGGAGTCCAGGGGCAAGGTGGAGTAGGAGTTGGGGACATGAGGTCAATGCAGGAGCCACTGGCACAGGAGATGGTCCAGGAAAGGACATTTAAAGATCAGCAGAGAGATAAGTGTGGCCAGAAGGGTAGCAGGAAAATCAGGGAATGCAAAGTCCTAGGAAGATAGTGCTGGCAGGAAAGAGAGTGTGTCTAAGTGGGGAGAGAAATCAGGAAGATGAGGCCTGGTGACTGACTCGTGGATCAAGGAACAGTCACTGCTGACCCTTGTGGGTCAGAAGCTTATGAAGGAATGAGCGGGGAGCGAGGAAATGGAAGCAGAGCATGTGCAAGAAAATGAGACGGTGTTGATGACAGCTTAGTGAAGTTTTATTTTAGTATGTGTGCTGCCAAAGCAAGCACAACTTAGTGACATTTTAAAAGGAAGATATTTGAATATGCTTAAAAGTTGGTAAAAAAGAGCCAGTCGAAAAGGAAAGGTTGACAAAACAGGAGAAACAGAATAACTGATAGTGGTTGAAGGTCTCAAGAAGGTATGGGGCCAGGGGATCCCATGGACAGGTGGGGGTGGATCTCTTGGTTATTAACTGTTATTAACAGTTCGATGACCTAATACTAATACTTCCACTCCTAACAGTCATTTATTAAGCACATATTAAAACAGATGTGACACCAGGTATTTTGAAGGAATGATTTCATTGGGCTAGCATAACAACCTTACAGTGTATGCATTCTTGATTTTACAGATATGGAAGCTGAGGCTCAGAGAGATTATGCCACTTGCTTTTAAGGCTTCTAGTAAATGGCAGTCAGGATGAAAACCAAGGTCTCTAAGCTCCAGAGTCCGTCCTTGTTCCCATGGCCACACCACCTGCATGCTCCCCTGCCCCAAACACACCCACTTTTCACCCTTTCCCTCCTCTTGCCTCCCATCCCATGTCAGTCATCACATTCTGCTCATGCACCTGTGCCATGTCCCCTGACCACTGGCTGCTTCTCGCTGCGCCCGCCTCACTGCAGGGTTCATCATCTGTCTTGTTCTCTGCTGCATCCGCAGGGTCGAGAACAGTGTCAGGCAAACAGGCTAACATGCGACAGTCACTGAGTGGAAATATAAATGTCTATGGCAACCCTTCGTGCTTCCAAAGTCTCACGGGCAGAGGCCCTCATGACTTTCCTTCCAGACTGACTTTTTAGGGGTGTTTGCATAGCAAACAGCTTAGGAAAATAGAGATAGTGTCTCTCCCGGTGAAGGGCAGGTTTCTTTGCTGGTCGGTATAATAATGATGATGTCTCCCTCTGGGGTGAGGGTTGGCCAGGTTTGCTTACAGTTCATGATAATAGATTGGGGTTTCCTAGACTTGAGGTTCCTCAACTTGTGCAGTACACTTGGGGTACAGGCCCACGTCCCTCCCATGGGACTTAGGGGTTAATGGAAACTGATTTTATTGTGAAGCTCACGTGGCCTGCTCTTCCATGGGTAATAAAGTCCTTTGTCTCTGGCCCAGGCATCTCATGTCTTCTGCCAGCATCCATGAAACTGCCCTCAGAGCTCGTGGCAACAGTCCTACCCCTTTCAGGACAATGGAGACGGTCTCCACCACCGATTCCTCCCAACTATCTTCTGGTGTCCTCCAGAGTGGAGGGACAGTGTAGACATCCTAAACAGCCCTCCCAGGCCCTGGAAGGTGGCACCTACCTCCCCACCCCTGCCCCAGCTCAAGCAATCACCCCCTCATAGCTTCTCCCATCTTGTCACTCTCACCCCTGCAGTTCTGTCATGCTGTCTCCTTCACAAGGGGGATTGGGGGGTGGGGGGAAGTCCTTTCCACATTTTGAGGCCGGGGACTTGTCTCCCCTCCTCCCTAAGGGCTGCCCAAAGCCCAGCCAGAATTTCCCTGTATCACTTACAGCTTCCTGCCATGCCTTCACTGTGCCCCACCTGCCTCAGCTTGTAGGCTTCTCCTGTCCTGCTTGTATTGTGTCCAACTGGGCAAACCCCACTCCACCTCCCCCAGAGACTCGCCACCCTCATTTCTGCGATCCTCTCAATCCCACCAACCCTGGCACACAGCAGAGGAGCAATGTCCACCAGGAAAGGCCGTCCAGGACCTTTGGAAGAAGCAGGATGGTCGCGCAGAGGCCTTCCCAGGGAGAAGGCTTGGAGGCCGAAGTGCGAGATCCTCCAGGAAGGTGGAGAGAGGTCAGGAAAGATGAAGAAACAAGAAGCGCAGGGCTGGGGAGGGCCTGAGCCCCTGGGGCCCATCCCTCTGGGTCCCCTCGGCCAGGGGCCTCACGACACGGCTCCGCGGACGGCCCCTCTCCCTGCCCACCCCCTCCGCCCGCGTCGCCATCAGAGCCTCGCTCGGATCCCCGAGCCTCGCACTGACGCGGGCCCGCGTGAGTCAAGCCTGCGTCACGGCGCCCCGCCGCCAGGGTGGCCTTTCGGAAAGCGAGGGAACAGCGCGCGCCGCGCTCCGCCCAGCTCCGTTCCGCTCCGCAGAGCCGGCGCGGCCGGGACGCAGAGAGCGCGGCCCTGGGCCCGGCGCCTGCAGCCCCACGCGCGCCCTCCGCCCGGCACCGGCTTCCCCGCGCGCTCCCCCGGGGCCCCCCGCGCGCCGCAGGCGGAGACCGGCCGGGACCCGCGCCCGGGCAGCGAGGACCGAGCGAGCGAGTCGCGCGCGCCGGGCGCAGCCCCGGGTCCCCTCCCAGCCCCGGCCGGGCCGTGGCCGCCGCGCTCGGGCTGCGCGCGGGAGGGTCGTGCGCCCCGCGCCCGTCGGGGACCAACGCTGCTCCGCGGGAGCGCAGGGCCCGAGTCCGCGCGACGGCCCTTTCGGGACAGGTGAGTCGCCGGCCGCGCCCCACCCGACCTCCCCGCGCGGCCGGCGCAACTTCAGCCGCCGGGGCCCCGCCCCAGTGCGGGAGGCCCGAGGGCCGAGGTGCGAGGCGGCGCTGCGCGCGGGTGCCCCGCCGGCCCCAAGCTGGCCTGGGGCCCGTTGCCTGGCGACCGAGCCCGGAGACCCGCGCTCCTCCCGAGCCTCTGGGGTGCCCAGCGCGGCGCGCGCCGCTTGGACTCAGGGTTCCAGCTTCGGGTGGTTTGCAGGAGGGCCCGGGAACTCGGGAGGTCACCGGGCAGACCTGCAGAAGCCAGCGCCCCGGAGCTCCCGAGAGGAGGCCCGGAGGTCTCCTGCGGGCTCAAGGCGCAGCTCCCACGGGGAGGCCCCGGCCGGATGGAGACCCCATCTCCAGGCGCTCAGCTTCAGGCCGGTGACCTTGACAGTAACATTGGCAGAAGAAGCAGCGCTCCTGCCCGAGATGAAGATATAGCTCCCAGTTCTGGGTCTGGTCCTCCTGAATTCAGCTCTAGCGGGGAGCGCTTTCTCCTTCGAGGGGAGCGGGGAGCGCAGCTGGGAACGGAATGGCGCAGCTGGGGGATGTGCGCGGGGTGCAGATCTGGAGGGGGCGCCTTCCTAGGGGGGAGGCCTCTGCCACATTTGTACCTGTGCGCACCGCGCTCTCCAGCCACACTCGCAGCTCCCCGCGGGGGGCCGCTACCCCTGGGGCGCAGCGGCCTTGGAAGGAAGCTTGTTTCCTTTTAAATCCCAAACAGCCCTGTCAGCGCTCCCAGTGTTCAGAAACCTCAGGCCACCCACCTTACAGGATACAAGTGGAATTTGGAATTAAAAAACAAAAACCAAACCTCCATTCCTCTTTCTTTCTTAGGGAAATATTTTAATGGACTCTGCGTTAGGAAATTTCCAACCGAAGTTATCTTTGGGACAGGTCAGCCTTGAACACAAGGCAGAGGGAGCTGGGGCAGCAGGGGAATATGGTGTAGAGAAGGAAGATTCTTTGGGGGTGGGGGCATTGCCTCCTTTTAACAGGAAGTCCATGAAGGAAAAATAATCCTGTAACAGCTCAAAAAAAATTGTTTCAACACAAACTTTAGGCTGCGCAGGTCATACAGATTGATGTCTGGAGAACAAGGTCATAAAATATCAGGGTTAACAATGAGGGCCTCTTGTGTCTCACACTGTACTTGCATTAGCCGGAGGAGCAGGTGAGGTAGACCTGGGCAGAAAGGGCTTTGAGGTCACGCTTGGTTGTCCTTGGCCTGGTGCATCCATGGGGACCATCGAAAGCTCTAGATCCTTTGCTGGCTTTTTCTCTAAGGGAGCAGCTGTGGCTAAGTAGGTGGTGAGTTTCAGTGACTCCCTGCAGCTCAGCCTGGAGGGTGACTCAGTGCAGGAGGCAAATCGTGCCCACCAGCTCTGATTGGAGTGAGTTTGTTTGGCCTGAGTCACATGCAGTCGTGTGTCAGCTGTTTGTGAGTTGAATGGTGTTCTTTAGCAGACTTGTGAGCAGGAATAGCACGAGTTCCATGTGTTTGGGGGCCACTGACCCAAGGGGGGCAAGTCCTCAGAGTGAGCTGAGCAGAGCTCTGGCTGCCTGGCTGTGAGCAAGGGTCCTAAGCTCTGACCACAGGGAGGGCAAACAGGCCAGGCTGGGGAGGGGGTTGGAGGAGAGACCAGGGCGGGGGCCTATGATTATGGTCAGAACTGGACCCAGAGCTCTGCCATATGCCAGCAGGGTGCCCTTGGGCATGTCACTTTAGCTCTGGAAGCTCTGTTTTCTCAGTTGTAAAACAGGGGTGGTTATGGTACCTTTTCACGGGTTTATTTTGAGCACAGTGCTGGATACCTGGCAGATGCACATTCATTGTTTGTTCCCACACTTTTCTTTATAGGCTTGAGCTAGAGGTGATTCTTTCCCTGTCCTTCCTTGTTCCTGGGTGTGAGAGGTGCTGTGGAAACAAGTGAATATGGCAGCCTTCCCGCATAGTCAAGAAGGACCCATAACTCAGCTTTGAATTGACCTATTTCCAGCCCTCTGGTCTGCCCTGGGAGACCTTGAGTGGGGACGCCTTAGGACAGGGCTCTGGGAGGTGTAAGTAGGGCTGAGTGGGATTCATGGGGTGCCCTTTACTACCTACAGTAGTTTCAGGGTGAGACTCCAGCACAGGCCTTGACTGCTTGGGATTGTTCATGACTGTGGCCTGAACCAAGCTGTAGTACCTACTGAGTGGACTTCAGGTGTCCCTGCTCTTTGATCAGGCCTTGTCACCCTCCTGCCTACCTGTCCTCTCCATAATGAAGTTGCAAGCTGCATGGGAGCTGTCCAGGAGAGGCAGGGCTGACCTTTCCTAGAGAGGAAAGTGAGGAGCGTGTCTCTGTCCCCCATGAAGGCTCGTGGGCCCTTAGCTTCCTCTTTCTGAAGTATGTCTAGACACGATCCTGGGCTAAGAGGTGCACCTCAAGAATAAAGCAAACCAGGGGATCCCCAGTGCAGCAAGAAAGAGGCCATGCTGACCCAGGGGACTCCAGTCTGCTGCTGGAAATGTGTTTGTGTGCTGCATGAAGGCCTGTGTGTGGTAGGTGCATCTGGAATCAATACCCTCCCCACTGGATCTAGAGAACATTCCAAGGATGATAGAGACACAGCTGAGAGGTTTCCTGAGAAGCAGACTCCTCTGCCTGTGTATCTCCCCTCCCTCTTACTCCTTTCCTGCTCAGCTTGGCTGTTGCAAGACCATTCATCATTAATCTCTTTAAAGCTGCTAAGATAAGGGGCAGAATAGCTGAAAGGGAAGATGAATTTGGGCTTTTCCCCTAGAGCCAGGTCTGAGTTATCATTCACTCCCAGGCTGGGCTGTAAGAAGTCCTCACAGTCAAATGTCTGGAGCCCCCAGGATGGGCAAAGCTCTCTCAGCCCCTCTCTTTTCAGTCTCCCCTGGCTGGACCCCAAGCTCCCAGAGGTCAGAAGCACAGTGTCGTGGCTAGATGTGACTGCTGGTGCACTGGCCCCCAGCTCAGGTGGGACAGTGATCATGGGGAAATGCCTGCTTTGTGTGCTTTTATGAGGGGCGGGTGCTGTTCTGGAATCCAGCAGCTCACACCATGCTCGGAGCACGGTGATAACATCCGGTTTTTTACTGAGGCCTCTACACGGCGCTAAGTGCTTTATTCATGCATCTTCTCTTTTAATCTTCACTACACTATAATCCCAGGAGACAGATATTGCTCTGAGCAGTTAGAGATGTGAGAATTGAGGTTCAGAGAGGTCAGATAATTTGCCCAAGGTCACACAAGCTGTGAATGGCAGCCTGAGAATTTGAACTCAGGTTTGTCAGATTCCAAACTTCATGTTCTTAACAACTATGTGATGCCCCTCCAAAATCAGTTCTTCAAAAATGTTTGCCGAAATTCCCATCCCTAGAGGAACATGTCCATCCTGTCCCAACCTGCCTGCCACCTCCAAGAAGAGGTTGTCTAAATCTGAGGGTCCAGTTCTTTAGGTTAATACTCCAAAAAAGGGGGGAATTGCCTCCACCCACAGGAAACTGGTAGAGAATGATGATGCCTAAATTTCCAAGGTTTGGGGACTATGATAGGTGATTCCAGAAAAAGACTCGAGACTCTGTTTTGTCCTTTTTGTTCTTCCCTTCCTGACCGCTGCCATCTCTGACTTCAGGCCCTTAGAGCTTGTCCAAATCAGAGGGCAGCACGGGGGCAGTGCGGGGAGATCAGAGCAGGTCAGAGGCCGCATAGAGGATTTCTGCAGCAGCAGAATCAAGGTCAGCCAGTGTGTGCTGGGGGCTCGGGGTAGGGGGTCAGGTTTCTCTGGTGGAGAGCGTGTGCCAGGGACTTGCAGCGGTTCCTGTGAGGCCTTGACCCCAGAGCAAAACTGCTCACATTCAAGGTTATTTGCAGCAGTGGCTGGCCCGGGCGGCTCAGAGGGATGCTCCTTGCTTCCTGGTCTTGTCCCATGGAGAGCCCACTGTCCTTGCCCTTGGGGCTCTGCTTACTCCTGTCCTTGGCTGTTCTGGGAAACTTGGTATTGACTCCTGCTTCTCCATCTCTCCCTGAGAAATCCCCATCCCTAGAGGAACATGTGCATCCTGTCCCAACCTGCCTGCCACCTCCAAGCCACCCTTGAGCTCTGTGGGAACATCTGCGAGCGAGGGTGAATAACTGGATTGTAAATATGAACGCTCCCCCATCCCCAGAGGACACAGAGAGGCCTTCCCAGAAGCCCTTGCTCCATGGGCAGCCATTTTGTGGCCACAGAGTCCTCTGATACTTCTCTCTACCCGCTCTCCCCATGAGTAATTAATTGTTCATCTAGGAAGAATTAATTGTTCATCTAGGAAGAAAGCCAATTTAAATATATATGTTTGTTATTAGATATTCACTGAGTATAGAAAACTCACCTATGGGCTCAGATGTACGATGGATACTGCACTACATATTTTTCATTTCAGAACCAGGTGTGCTTTGTTTGAGGACAATTCTGGGTCAGGTGATTGCTGGGCAGCCTGTGTCTCCAGTTTGGGAATTGAGACTTAAGCCCCGTTTGCTCTGTGGTCTCTTGTGGATTGAGGGGGACAAGTGGGGGGTCAGAGGAAACAATACCCAGCTCCTGGGCTCTGGATCCATCTCTCAGCTGTGTTTGTCCAACTGAGCTGCCTTCCTACCTTCCAGAGGCTACGCCTTGTTCATTTGAAAATAACAAGTTGCCTTTCACGATACTCCATTACTTCTAATTACTGGTGTAATTAGAATTTCTGCTGGATTCCATGCACCATTAATTTGCCACCTATTCTTTCACTTACAAATAAAATTCATTGGCCCACACCCAGAATTCCTGCTGGTTGCAGTTTCTCTTTTAATTATAAGACTCTGGTCTCTTTAAATCCCATTCCAAGTTAACAGTGATAAAGTTACCTTTCAAGAGATGTGAGGGGTGGCTACAGCAGGAGCCGCTGGGTGGGTATTCAGTGAG